CGCCCTCAGCCCGCCGTCCGCCGAGCGCCCCCTCCAGCTGGGGCCGCCGCCGCCGCGGAGCCGTTCAACTCCCCGTACCTGGTTCGGCTGCTCAGCTTGCTCCGAGGACGCCATCTTTCGGAGGCCTAACTAATCAACCGCCGCGGGGCGAGATTTCTCCCAAGTGCCCTCGCTCTCGCTCAGCGGCCCAGACCAAAGCAGAAGGGATTGAGCCGGTCGATGGGGGCACTGGCGTGGGGCCAGAGGGCGGGACCTGGCACGCGCGTGCGTCGCCGTGCGGTCCGGAGTCGGCGGCGGTAACCTTGCCATCACGTGTGTGGATGGTCGTTATTCTCGGGTTAAAGGTCTGCGCGTCCCCATCGTGGACCCTAAGTAGTAAATGAATGTGATGATAAACGAATGTGAAGAAGCATGGAAATTAGTCTTCAGTCGTTCCGTAACATTCCGAGTGCCTGGTATTTGCCAGAAACTTCTGTAGGCTCTGGAGTCCAGCCAGGCCAGGACCCGCCCAGCCGCCTGCGAGCCCGGGACAAACCCACACGCACGCAGTTACGACACCACGGTCGGTGAGGTTTCCCTCTAGAAGGAAGGCGTCCCCAGGCGGCCTTGACTTCGATGGCAGAATGCCCATGTCCAGGCCTCGTTTCCCTCATTTCCCAGCCTGGGCGTGGAGCTCTATGTCTGGTTGCAGATCCACTACATACCCTTACGGCGGCTGAATTATTAGATTTCTTTTTTTGTTCTGTTGGTTGGCTTTTGGGGGGACCTATGTAGCCCAAGCTGGCTTTAAATTCACAATCCTCCTGCCTCTGCCTCCTGAGTGCTGGATTACAAGAGTACCGCCATGTCTGGCTTTCAAAATAAGTTTTTTGGGTTTTTTGTTTTTGCCAGTCCTGGGGCTTGAACTCAGGGCCTGAGCACTGTCCCTGAGCCTCTCTGTGTTCAAAGCTAGCACTCTACCACTTGAGCCACAGCACCACTTCCGGCTTTTTCTGTGTATGTGGTACTGAGGAATCGAACCCAGGGCTTCATGCAAGGACTCTACCAAGCCACATTCCCAGCTCCGGATAAGTATTCATAATGTCCATTTCTATTTATTTTCTAGAATCAAGCCACACATAAAATAGATGTTAAGCAAATTCTCTACCCTTGGGCAATCCCAGAGCAAGAATGTGGTATAAAACAATAGCCTACTGTAGTTTTTTTTAGTGTATTTCTATATTTACACATTTGGGGGGGGGGTCCAGTCATGGGGCCTGAACCTGGGCCTGGGTGCTGTCCCTCAGCTCTTCAGCTCAAGGCGAGCGCTCTACCACTTGAGCCACAGCGCCACTTCCGGTTTTCTGGTAGTTTATTGGAGATAGGAGTCTCACGGTCTCTCCTGCCTGGGCTGGCTTTGAACCGTGATCCTCAGATCTCAGCCTCCTGAGTAGCTAGGATTACAGGCATGAGCCACCAGCGCCCGGCTTGACCAACTTTTATTTAAGTATCAAAAGTATGCATGTGCATCTGTAGTTAAGGATGCAGTACAAATTCAAGGGTGCACATGTATGCATGCGCTTGACTATGCAAAATAAATCCCTATGTAACTCATTTCTGAATGTGCCATTGAGACTCCTAAATAAGGGTTAAAAGCAGGACTGAGGATGCAGTCCAGTGGTAGTGCATACACCTAGTGTGCATGACACTGAGTTCCACCGCGCATCACCCAATAAAAACCAACAAGCACCAGCCAACTCCAGCACCGACGTCTTCGTCTTCGGGATTGAACTCAGAGAGGACGACTCCCGTCAAATTCCAGGGCCGCACGTGATTAGCAGCAACTAGAACTACATTGCCCAGCGTGCCTTTGGCCTAACGCGTGATTTGCTGAGAAGAAAACTACATCTCCCGGCATGCCACAGGAGGGAGTGGAGGCGGGCGGGCCGCTCCCAGCTCGGCGTTATTTCCCGGAGTACGTCCGGTTCCACCTTGAGGGGATGGAGGTGGCTCGGGGCTCCGGCGCCCCGGATCCCGGCGATCCCCGACCTCTCAAGCCGTGTCTGCTGCGTCGCAACCACAGCCGCGAACAGCACGGCGTAGCAGCCTCCTGCCTCGAGGAGCTCAGGAGCAAAGGTTGGCACGGGACCGGGACTTGAACTCGAGGCTGGGATGAGGATGAACTTGTCCGGCGGGGCCTGGGGGGGAGAGGGGGGATAGCCGGGGAAGGTGACTTGGGCTGGAGTCCCGGGACAGAAATAGCCGAGGTGGATCAGCGTGATTGACAGGTTTCAGGCACTTTAACTTAGCCTCTTGTGAGACTAGCGATGGGAGAAATGAAGACGAGGAGCAAAGTACAAATCAACACTGGCTCCGCTGAGTGTCTGGCTTAAAATAATCCCGATTGTGGTTCAAACAGAGCTTCATGTATTCCTGCCACTCCGATTGATGAAAGGCGGGCCCTAGGGCAAACCCTGCCCGGGCTCCACCATCAGCTCCAACGGGTCCATCATCAGAGAGACTGTGGGGTCCAGATGTTCTGGGACTGACCCCATCCCTACTGCTTGACCTTGCACTTAATTAACCACCTCTGGTTTTTAATTATCTCATCAGCCAGTTAGGTATATTTCCAGCCCTGCTGCCAAGGGTTGTTGGGATTTTCAAATGAGATAATATATTCAAATGACTTACAATTGTTATTAGCCTATAGCAACAAATTATGTATCCAAAGAAGTTCTGCAGGCTTAACGTGTGAGCCAGCCACATGCATTTGTGTTAGTGCTGGCAGTGTTTCCCCTGTCACCAAGGCACAACAGATACCTTATAGGTGATATCAGGCCTACGAGTGACCCAAGCTCTCTAAATGGTTTGGTGACATGGATTTTGCCACATCACTGTTGATGTATTTTTTTCCTGGCATTGGGTTACTTCAATTTTAATGCCCCTTGGTGCACTAGCTGGATGTCCTTGGCACAGAGGTGTGTGTTCTCTGCAGCTGGGTCTATAGGAGGCTAGCTGTTCTATTTTGAGTGACAGCATTGCTGACATATATTTGTAGTCTCTTAATCCAGGCTTGTTAGTGCTTTAGGCATTACTGTCATTCAACGGGATGGTACACCTAACCTTGGAGAAAGCTTTTGGCTCAGTGATAGTAAAAATGAAAAGATACTATGATGTGATGTGGCTCACACCCATAATCCCAGCACTCTGGAGGTTGAAGCAGGAGAATCTCAAAAGAATTTAAGACCAATGCCTGGCACTGGTGGTGGGCCTATATTCCTAGTTACTCAGGAGGATGAGTTGTAAGCATCACTGTTAGAAGTCAGTCTGGTTAGACAAATCTAAGAGACTTTTTTTTTTTCTTTTGCCAGTCTTGGCACTTGAACTCAGGGCCTAGGGCACTGTCTCTGAGCTTCTTTTTTGCTCAAGGCTAGCAGCGCCATTCCTGGCTTTTTCTGTTTATGTGGTACTGAGGAATTGAACCCAGGCTTCAGGCATGCTAGGCAAACACTCTACCACTAAGTCACATTGCCAGCCCTCTAAGAGACTCTTATCTCAATTAACCAGCAAAAAGCAGGAAGTTGAAATATAGCTCAAGTGGTAAAATACCAGCTTTGAACAGTGAAGCTAAGCAAAACATTGACGCCTTGAGTTCAAGCCCCAGTTCCAGCTCATACACAAAGTTTGAGACCAGCCTAGAATACATATAGGTCCTGTCTCAAAAGGAGAAAAAAAAAGGGTGAGAGTCAGACACCAGTGGCTCACGCTTGTAATCTAGCTACTCAGGAGTCTGAAATCTGAGTATCATGGTTTGAAGCCAGCTGAGGCAATAAAAGTTCATGAGACTCCAGTTAACTACCACAAAAACCAGAAGTGGATCTGCAGATCAAATGGTAAAGCACTAGCCTTGAGCATAAAAAAACTCAGAGGCAACACCCAGGCTCAGAGTTCAAACCCTAAGACAGCAGGAAGAGGGGGGGAGAGAGGGAGGGAGAGAGGAAAAGAGAGAGAGAGAGAGAGCTGATAACATAATAAAGCCCACTAAATACTGTTTAAAAAGGAGAATGTAATTGGATAACCTTTAGCAAAATACATTGTATGCATCTGTGGAAGTACTACAGTGAAAACCACCCTTTGCACAAATTTTTTAAAAAAGAAAATGAAAAGATCCTAAACTTTAAGCATCTGCATCTTATAGTTCCTGTGGGCCAGAACTGGTGCAGAAAAGGGGGGGGGGGAGTCCTCTCCCCTCTCCCTCCCTCCTTCTCTCCTTTCCCCTCCCATATTGACACATAAGAGAACTTACAATGACCACTGAAAAGTCAGTCACTGATGACTTACACCTGTAATCCTAGCTATTAGGAGGCTGAAATCTGAGGATCACAGTTTGAGCCAGCCAGGTCGGAAAGTCTGTGACACTCTTATCTCCACTAAACTACCAAAAAAGCAGAAGTGAAGTTGTGGCTCCAGTGGTAGAGTGCTAGTCTTGAGCAAAAGAAGCCTAGGGACAGTGTCCAGGCCCTGAGTTCAAGCCCCAGGATTGGCACAAAAAAAGGGGAGGGGGATCATAATACCTGTGTTATAGGGTTGATTTTTTTTGTTGTTGTTGTTTGTCAGTCGTGGGGCTTGAACTCTGGGCTTGGGCACTGTCCCTGTGGCTTCAGCTCAAGGCGATCACTCTACCACTTGAGCCACAACGCCATTTCCGGTTTTCTGGTGGTTTATTGGAGATAAGAGTCTCACGGACTTTCCTGCCTGGGCTGGCTTTGATCCGAGATCCTTAGATCTCAGCCTCCTGAGTATCAAGGATTATAGGCATGAGCCACCAGCGCCCGGCAGGATTGATTTTTTTTTTACATGAAAAGTATTTAGAACAGTGTGGGCATATGTAAATACTATATAAGTGGTAATAGCTATATAGTTGTTACCATAGTGGTTATTATTGAGCAGGAATTCTACGCAGCTCTGAGGGCAGAATATTGAGAGTATTAGGACAGGTAAAATACAAATATATACAGATATACTTAGTGGTAAATCATTTTCTCTTCTCAGCCTGTGAGATTCTGGCCATTGATAAGAACCTGACACCAATCACCCTGGTCCTGGCAGAAGATGGCACCATAGTGGATGATGATGATTACTTCCTTTGTCTTCCTTCCAATACTAAGTTTGTGGCTTTGGCTTGTAATGAAAAGTGGACATACAACAATTCAGGTAAGAAAAGCTAGCCATATAAATACACCACATCTACCATGATTTTTTTGTTTTTGCTAGTCCTGGGGCTTAAACTCTGGGCTTGGGTGCTGTCCCTGAGCTTTTGCTCAAGGCCAGCACTCAACCACTTGAGCCACAGTACCACTTCTGGCTTTTTCTGAGTAGTTTATTGGAGATAAGAGTCTCGTGGAAGGCTGGGAAGTTGGCTCAGTGGTAGAGCTCTTGCCTTGCTTGCCTGAGGCCCTGGGTTCGATTCCTCAGCACCACATAAGCAAAAAGGAAAAAGCCGGAAGTGGCGCTATGGCTCAAGTGGTAGAGCGCTAGCCTTGAGCTGAAGAGCTGAGGGACAGCGCCCGGGCCCAGAATTCAGGCACTACGACCAGACCAAAAAAAAAAAGAGTCTCATGGACTTTGCTGCCTGGGCTGGCTTCAAGCCATGATCCTCAGATCTCAGCCTCCTGAGTAGCTAGCATTGCAGGTGTGAGCCACTGGCGCCCAGTCCATGATTTTTTAAATGATTATACTAATTTATATTTACACCACACTGTGTAAGGATTCTCCACATTGTCTTTTTCTTTTTCTTTTCTTTTTTTTATTTTTTCTTCTTCCCCAGTACTGCAGCTTGAATTCTGGGCCTTATGCTTTTGCTTATTAGCTTTTTCACTCACGACTGGCTGTCTACCATTTGAGCCATACTTCCACTTGTGGTATTTTCCTGGTTAATTATGGATAAGCATCTGTGGGATTCTTCTCCTCAGGCTGACTTGGAACTATAATCCTCAGAACTCAGCCTCCTGAGTAGCTAAGATTACAAGCGTGAGCCACCAGTGACTGCTGTCTTTTGCTTTTTGATAGTAGCCACTGAAGTGCTGTGGTATCTCATTGTGGTTCCAATTTATTCCCTAGCATTATTGATCTCATGATTCATTTTGCTGCACTGGTAACAACCTGGTTATTGTTGTGTGGTTGTCAAAGCACTTATGCAATAAGTGTTCATCTGAGCACCTTCTATGTGCCAGACACAGAACTAAGTCCTGGGGATAAAGATGAATGAGACACGGTTCTCAATCAACTAATATACTGACAGCAACTAAAATGCAGCATGGCAGAGAAATCAATATGATAAGCTGGAATGGAGTCAGGCTGCTAAGGCCTAAATCTTGGCTCTTCCATTTATTAGTTAGGTGACCTGGGCAAATTGCATTACCTCTTACTTCCTTACTGTCATAATAATTACAAGCCAGTGCCAGTGGCTCACACCTATAATCCTAGCTACACAGAAGGCTGAGATCTGAGGATCGTGGTTCAAAACCAGACAGAGCAGACTACTCAGAGCCTGAGCCCATAGACTACTCAGAAAAAGCTAGAAGTGGCACTATGGCTCAAAAGGAAGAAAGCTAACCTTGTACACAAAAAAGTTCAGGGACAGTGCCCATGCCCTGAGTTCAAACCCCAGGACCTACAGAAAAAAAATTACAGGACCTGTCTCCTAGTACTGTTGTAAGGCTAATATAATCAAACCAGTTTTCAATGATGCTATTAACATTAGAGCCCAGAAAAATTCAGTAGTGGAGAGGTTGCTGTGTACTTTGTAGAACCTTTAGCTATAACACCCATTCTCTTACCTCTGGGTGCAGTGCTAAACCTCTGACTCAGCTGTGACAAACAAGAATGTCTCCAGTCTTTATCAAATGTGTCACATTAGTGGGCTGGGAAGGTGGCTCAGTGGTAGAGCGCTTGCCTTGAATACATGAGGCCATGGGTTTGATTCCTCAGCACCACATAAGCAAAAAAAAAAGGTCGGAAGTGGCGCTGTGGCTCAAGTGGTAGAGCACTCGCCTTGAGCTGAAGAGCTAAGGGACAGCGCCCAGGCCCAGAGTTCACAACCGGACCCAAAACAAATGTGTCACATTAGTAATGCTCAACCAGTCTTAACTGGCACAACATAGGGATTCAAGAACTATTACTTATCACTGTTATCATCACTGGAGATTCAGAGTCAACTGATATTAGGGATAAAAGATCAAAGAACTAAAGGAATATCTTTAAGAAAGTCCATTTTGGGCTGGGAAGGTGGTTCAGTGGTAGAGCGCTTGCCTTACATGCCTGAGGCCCTGGGTTCGATTCTCAGCACCACATAAGCAAAATGAAAAAAGCCGGAAGTGATGCTGTGGCTCAAGTGGTAGAGCGCTAGCCTTGAGCTGAAGAGCTGAGGGACAGCACCCAGGCCCAGAGTTCAGGCCCCACAACCGGACCCCAAAAAAAAAAAAAGAAAGTCCATTTGTATGCCTCTAAGTTAAGGATATCACCCTTTAGCAATGTCTCTACCAGCCACCATTATACATGGGCCCAAAGGCAGCAAACAGTGGCTTGCTCCAATGAAGGATGGGCAAATACCACGCCCAGGAGACATGCTAGTGAAAATAAATGTTTTAGTGTACAGAAACAACACACCCTTAGCTGGGTGCTGATGGCTCATGCCTCTAATCCTAGCTACTCCAAGATATGAGGATCATGGTTCAAAGCCAGCCCAGGCAGAAACGTTCATGAGACTCTTTTATCCAGTTAACAAAAAAAAGCAAAAAGCCAGACAGGAAGGTATGGCTCATGTGGTAGAGGGCCAATCTTGACTGAAAAAACCCAAGCAATATGTGAGGCCCTGAATTCAAAGCACACATACATATACACAAAATACCCAGACACAAATAATTGAAAGGGAGGTGCAGGACCTTGAGCCAGACGTTGGGGTTAAGTGTCTTTTTGCCATCGAAGAATATAAAGCAGTTATGTACAAACAAACTGAAGTCAGAAGAAGGAAAATGACAGCCTAAGCTGGGACTTGGCTTTCCTTTGGGTCCTCCTAGTGGAATGGTCCCGAGTGGTCTAGAAGGATACACTCATTTTCCGGAAGTCTGTGTGTCATCAGAAGAGACACAAACAGTGCTTGAACTTATGGCGACCAGCATTCTTTTTCCTTCTATCAGATGGTGGCACAGCTTGGATTTCCCAGGAGTCTTTTGATGTGGATGAAACAGACAGTGGGGCTGGAGCGAAATGGAAGAACCTGGCCAGGCAGCTGAAAGAAGATCTGTCCAACATCATCCTGCTCTCAGAAGAGGACCTCCAAGTAAGCCCTCCACCACCGGAAGCCTCAGCTGGCCTCTGCCACCCTGCCATGAGCCTTCCAGGCATTGTACTAGTGATGCCTTTAGTGCTTAATTTTTATTTACTCATGTTTGCAGTGCTCTATTTGAATGGAGGGCCTTGTGCAAGCTAGGAAAGTGCTTTGCCTCAGCAATTGTTTGTTTGTTTGTTTGTTTTTGTCAGTTGTGGAGCTTGAACTCTGGGTCTGGGTGCTGTCCCTGAGCTCTTCAGCTCAAGTCAGGTGTTCTAACACTGGAGCCACAGCACCACTTCCGTTTTTCTGGTGGCTAATTGGAGATAAGAGGCTCAAAGACTTCCCTGCCTGGGCTGGCTTTGAACTGTGATCCCCAGATCACAACCTGCTGAGTAACTAGGATTACAGGCACGAGCCACCCAGCTGGCTTGTTATTGTTTGAACTCAAGTCCTGGGTTCTTGCCCTTAGTGTTTCTGCTCAAGGATGACCCTGTACCACTTGAGTCACAGCTCCACTTCCAGTTTTTTGATGGTTAATTGTAGATAAAGAGTCTCATAACCAGGCTGGTGGCTCACACCTGTAATCCTAGCTACTTAGGAGGCTGAGATCTGAGGAATTTGGTTCAAAGCCAGCCCAAGCAGGAAAGTCCGTGAAACTCTTATCTCCAATAAACCACTCAGAAAACCAGAAGTGGCAATGTGGCTCAAGTGGTAAAGCGCTAGCCTTGAGCTGAAAAGCTGAGGGACAGCGCTCAAGCCCAAAGTTCAAGCCCCACAACCGACCAAAAAAAAAGTCACAAACTTTCCTGGCTGGCTTTGTACCATGATCCTCATATCCCAACCTACTGAGTAGAAAGGATTGCATCGCAGATGTAGCTACAGGTGCCTGGCCCCTTTGCTCAACAGTTTTTTTGTGTGTGTGTGCCAGCCCTAGGGCTTAAATTCAGGGCTTTGAGGTTTTGTGCTCAAGACTAGCACTCTACCACTTCAGCCACAGATCCATTTCTGGATTTCTGGTGGGTAATTGGAGATAAGACTTTCATGGACTTTTCTGCCTGCCTCCTGAGTAGCTGGGAATATAGGCATGAACCACTAGCTCCCTGCTTTAGGTTGCATTTTTAAAACAAAGTATTTTAAAGCTCTGAACAAGTATAGCTAAAAAAATTTAATGTTAAAATCATTAGAGGAGGGTTGGGAAGGTGGCTCAGTGGTAGAGTGTTTGCCTTGCACGCATGAGGCCCTGGGTTCGATTCCTCAGTACCACATAAGCAAAAAGAAAAAAGCTGGAAGTGGTGCTGTGGCTCAAGTGGTAGAGCGCTAGCCTTGAGCTGAAGAGCTGAGGGACAGCTCCCAGGCCCAGAGTTCAGGCCCCACGACCGAACCCCCAAAAAAAAATCATTAGAGGAACTTTCGCTTTCTTTTTCTTTTCTTTTTTTTTTCCAGTCCTGGAGCTTGAACTCATGTCCTTGAGCCTCTCTGTGCTCAAGGCTAGTGTTCTACCACTTGAGCCACAATACCACTTCCAGCTTTTTCTGTTTATGTAGTACTGAGGAATCGAACCCAGGGCTTCATGCATGCTAGGCAACACTAAGCCACATTCCCAGCCCTGCTTAAAACATTTCTATTGATTCAGTGTGTGCGTGTGTGTGCTCGCGCGTGCATGTGCGCATTTATGTATAGCTTTGTAAACAAATTGGTTTTTTTTTTTTTTTTTTGCCAGTGCCAGTGCTTGAATTTAGGACCTCTTGCTCAGCTTTCTTTTTTTTTTATTTATTTTTTTTATTTTTGGGTCCAGTCGTGGGCCTGAACTCTGGGCCTGGGTGCTGTCCCTCAGCTCTTCAGCTCAAGGCTAGCACTGTACTGCTTGAGCCACAGTGCCACTTCCGGCTTTTTTCTTTTTGTTTATGTGGTGCTGAGGAATCAAACCCAGGGCCTCAGGCATGCAAGGCAAGCACTCTACCACTGAGCCACCTTCCCAGCCCTCAGCTTTCTTGTTCATAGTTCCTGTTCTACCACTTGAATCATACCTTTAGTCTGGCAATTTTGCTGGTTAATAAGAGTCTTGATGTCTTTTACTTCCCAGGCTGGCTTCTAACCAGGATCTTCTAATATCTTTAGTTAGGATTCCAGATGTGAGCCACTGGTATCTGTCTAATCTTGTTTTTAATAAAGCATCAAGACATCATTTTCCCATGTTAGAATAATCTCGGAAGAGTTGAGTGCCTCTCTCTGGGTCCTCAGCCAGCCAGAATAGGTCACTGAGTGGCTGAGTTAGTTCTGAATGGACATGTTTGGGAGAAAGAGCTCCATGTTTAGAGTCCTGGTGGTTTTGCAGGTGCTCATCGACGTACCATGTTCAGACCTGGCTCAGGAACTTGGCCAAAGTTGTGTCACTGTCCAAGGTCTTCAGAACACACTTCAGCAGGTCCTCGACCAGAGAGAGGAAGCCCGCCAGTCCAAGCAGCTTCTGGAGCTTTATCTCCAGGCTTTGGAGAAGGAGGGTGGCATCTTGTCCATGCAGAAAGGTAGGGCACCCACTGTGGTGGCTGGGGGTGGGGGTGGACATTCAGAAAACTCAGGGGCCTTCCTTCCCTCAAGAGAAGACAGTAAGACAGCCAAAAACTCCGTAGCGCCATTTCCCTCTTGCCTGATGGGTTATGTGGCCATGTGGTTTGGCAGCGTGCTGATCTCTGCTCTGTCTGCTTTGCAGAGTCCAAAGCAGCCTTCAGCGAAGAAGTGGATACTGTGGACACAGGCAGCGGCAGAGAGATTGCTTCCAAAATTGCTCTGACAAGCCAGATCCTTACCACCCTGAAGGAGAAGCCGGCTCCAGAGCTGAGTTTATCTAGTCAGGATTTGGAGGTGGGCGAGAATCAGGGACTCTGAGCTGCGGAGGAAGACTTGCTGTGGAGATGTAGCATGACTGCAGAGATGGTGGGATTTCCTTCCCCACCTCTGCAGACCCTGGATGATAGATGCCAGCTTGGCCTTGTACATCCAAAGCATTCACACATATCTCCTTTAATCAAGATGGCTTTTACAAGAAAATGGGTATACTTCCTCAGCTCATTACACCCTGGTCCACACCGGACAGGGAGGGCAGGTACAGGCATCTGAGGCAGCCTCTGCTAGTTGTCATGGGACAAAGACCCAGTAGTTAATTCCAAGGCCTGCAGAATAGCACATCAGAAGGCATACTAAGGGCTGGGGATACAGCACAGTGGTAGAGCACTTGCCTAGCATATGTGGAATTGTGGGTTCAATCCCTGGTACCACCAAAAATAAGCAAATAGATAAGGCTGACTTGCAAGGATCATCTTGTGCTGGCTATCTTTAGACCAAAGAACTAGAAGCTTGACAATGAGCGGGTGCTACTTTTAACCTTTGTCCTTGTCCCCTCCTCCCCCATCTCCTGAATACCTCTCTGTTGTAGACAGAAGGGAAGGAACTTGTATTTACTTGAACATAGCTCAGTTTCCTGTTATGTTGAATAGGGTGGGGGTGGGGGAAGGGAGACAGCAGGTGGCCACATAGTAAAATAAAGTTGATGTTTCAGGGCAGATATACCCTGACTTGCTTTCCTAAAGAGAACCGTGGAAGCTCAGGTGAGGGCACAGGAGCAGTGGTTTTCATGGGTTTTGTTCTTGTCGCAGTTGGTTTCTGAGGAAGAGCCCCAAGCACTGGCTGTGGCTTTGAACTGGGACCTAAAGAAGACGGAAACCGTTCAGCAAGCCTGTAACCGGGAGCTCGCCCTGCGCCTACAGCAGATGCAAAGCTTGCGATCCCTCCGCAATGTTTCAGCCAGGAACCATTCCCTGCCCAGGGACCTGCAGAGCCCTAAACGAGCTAGACAAGATGCCACATAGCTCCAGCCAGAAACCTGCCGCGGAGGAATGCATGCTGGCCTTGGGTTTTGTTGTCAGTAAATACCTCCAACCTCCTCGTTATTTTGTTACTGCATTCTGCTCTACTCCTCCAGCTTGTTTTCCTCGCACCGGCTGGAAGCCTTGCTTATGCTAACTCCACAAAAGCTATTCCGCCTACTTCAAATGATGGGGCTGTACTAGCAGGTCTTCGCCTCAGAAGTACTTGTGTTCATGTTCTGTGTTTAAAAATACTTGTCCAAGCCAGGCACCTGTGGCTCACGCCTGTAATCCTAGCTACTCAGGAGGCTGAGATCTGAGGATCATGGTTCAAAGCAGCCCGGGCAGGAAAGTCTGTGTCTGAGAGACTCTGATCTCCAATAAACCACCAGAAAACCAGAAGTGGTGCTGTAGCTCAAGCGGTAGAGCGCTCGCCTTGAGCTGAAGAGCACAGGGACAGCACCCAGGCCCAGAGTTCAAGCCCCATGACCGACCAAAAAAAAAAAAAAAAGTACTTGTCCAGGCTGGGAAGGTAGCTTAGTGGTAGAGTGCTTGCCTAGCATGCATGAAGCCCTGGGTTCAATTCCTCAGTACCACATACACAGAAAAGGCTGTGGCACTGTGGTTCAAGTGGTAGAGTGCTATCATTCAGCAAAAGAAGCTTAGCGACTGTTCCTGAACTCTGAGTTTGACTAGCAAAAAAAAAAGAAAGTATCCGGGGCTAGGGATATGGCTCTAGTACTAGAATACAAAGCCCCGAGTTCCAACCTAGTGCCATAACCAAAGGAAAAAAAAAAACATGTCAGGGCTGGCTGGGGTGTAGCTCAGTTGGTAGAACACATGCTTAGCATGCATGAGGCCTTGGATTCAATCCACAGCACCCCATGAAATAAGTAAGGAAAAGTACTTGTAAATGGCTGAGAAAAAAAATTGTCGCTGAATGTTGGTGACTCATGCCTGTAATTCTAGCTACTCAGGAGACTGAGGTCTGAGCGGTACAAAGCCAGCCAGGGCAGGAAAGTCCATAAGACTCTATCTCCAATTAACCACCAAAAAACCAGAAGTGGCATTGTGGCTCAATTGGTGGAGCACTAGCCTTGAGCTGAAGAGCTCAGGGACAGCGCACAGGCCCAGAGTTCAAGCCCCATGACCGACCAAGAAAAAAAAAATTGTCTTAATAAGTAGTGTACAGGGGCTGGGGGTTTAGCCCAGCGGAAGGGCGCCCACCCGGCGCGCGCAAGGCCCTGGGTTCGGTCCTCAGCCCTGGGGGAAAAAAAATAAAAATAAGTAGTGTACAAAGGGGTTTCAATTCCACACGTCAGGTTATGAGTACAGTGCACCCCTTTCTTCATTCTCCCCCAAAGTTATCGTATCTTGAACTCACTGCTTTTGTTCTGTAAGTAGAAGGACAGAATTTTAGACACAGATGTTAGAGAGAAGGTGACTAGTTGAGTGTAGCTTATGGCCACAAACTCATTTCTTAAGCTAATGAATTTTATTTTTAAGTTCTGCAGGCCGCAGGGACATACAGAGAGCCTAACTCACACATTTCTAATATCTAACTCAGTATTGTGAAATTATATGTTACCACTGTGAAACTCTTCCGTTTTCTAATACGTTTTATCAGCAGGGGGTATAAACCCATAAAACGGTCATTAAAGCAATTTTCATGGGCTGTGGCTCTAATCTCTGGATACAGAGCTGAGCTCTTCTGCTTTATACACAGACTTGTTCTGCACAGTTGTGATCTACCATATACTCTCCTCTCAGGACCAAGTTGACGAAGTATTCACATACCTGACTTTTTAGTGTATGATTACAAGCAAGCAATGCTACCGAGAGACCCATTTGCCAGTTTGTTTATACATTTGTTTCTGGTGCTGGGGATGGAACCCCTGCCTCACACGATCTTCAGTCTCACACGTGCTAAGCAGGTGCTCTGCCAGAGCTACACTCCAGTGCCACATTGACCAGTGAAGCAAAATGTAATGTTAAGCCCTGGGGTAAAGGTAGAATGCAGAAAACAAATAGAACAAAAAGTGTTTCCTAGCCAGGCACTGTGGCTCAAAGTGGTAGAGCACTAGCCTTGAACAAAAAGAGCTCAGGGATAGCACCCAGGCCCTGAGTTCAAGTCCCAACCACTGAAGGGGTTGGGGAGAAGTGTTCCTTAGCCAGGCCCTTGTGGCTCACGCCTGTAATCCTACCTACTCAGGAGGCTAAGATCTGAGGACTGCAGTGTGAAGCCAGCCAGGGCAGGAAAGTACTTATCTCCAATAAATTCTATCTATCTATATTCTTTTTTTTTTTTTTGTCAGTTGTGAGGCCTGAACTCTGGGCCTGGGTGCTGTCCCTCAGCTCTTCAGCTCAAGGCTAGCATTCTACCACTGAGCCACAGTGCCACTTCTGGCTTTTTCTGCTTATATGGTGCTTAAGGAATCGAACCCCAGGCCTCATGCATACAAGGCAAGCACTCTACCACTGAGCCACCTTCCCAGCCCCTCCCCCCCAATAAATTCTTATCTTCAACAAATGATTGAGAAAAAGCTGGGAATGGCACTAGGGCTTGTGGTAAGAGTGTTAGCTCTGAGCAAAAGAGCTCAGGGACAGTGCCCAAGCTCTGAGTTCAAGCCCTATAACTGACAAAAAACCAACAACAAGTGTTTCCTTCTCTGACTTAGCGTGAGGGCTCAGCTCCAGTGAGCAGCCTTTTACTAAGCCTTAACCAGTGGTTCTCAAGTGTTTGCCCATTTCCCTTTTTACAGCTTATTTTGTAATGCCTCCTCAATTACCCTTAAATAAAAGCCATAGCTGTAAGCAGGAGAAAAGGAGGGAATGGTTAACAGTGTTTAAAAAGAAATGTACTCATACCTTATGTAACTGTATCCCCCCTGCTCATCACTTTTACAATAAATTCAATCAATGAATAAAGCCATAGCTGATAACCTACCTACTCTCATTCATTCCAAAGAATTAAATACCACCAGGCACTGGTAGTTTAGGCCTGAAATCCTAGCTACTCAGAAGGCTGAGATCTGAGGATTGTAGATCACAGTGAGCTTGGGCAGGAAAGTCCATGAGACTCACCTCTAATTAACTACGAAAAATGGCTCTGTGGCTCAAAGAAGTAGAACACTAGCTTTGAGCACAAAAGCTCAGGAACAGCGCCCAGGCCACGAGTTCAAACCCAGGACTGGCACATCCACACACACACACAAATACCTCAAGTGTAATGTTCAGAAGATGCAAATGGACAAAAATTCCTAGTTAAATGTGTGTGTGTGTGTGTGTCATTGTCTGTGTCCAAAGACACACAAACTGTTGGCTGCTTGTACTGTAATAGCCCAGCTTTTTTTCATTCTTGATAACCCCTAACTCTAATCCTGAATCTCTGGCCTCCAGAATGTGGTCTGCCTGGTCCTGACCACAGCTGAAGAATATCCCCGCTCCCAATCCATCTTTGAGCTTCTGTAAACTGCACCGACGTGTAGTTCTGCCCTGTATAAACTCTGCCCTACTGGAGGTTGGGCTGCTCTTGGACAAGGCAGTCACAGCCAAATAAAACTCCTTGCCACCTTTGCTCATGCCTCTGGATTTTCTCAACCCTGAGGTCATTACAGTACTACCCTCAGATTACCTTGAATTTGACCAGCAGACTGGCAAGATAATGTATTGTGATTGTCAATTCAAACAGCATTGCCCCTTGTAACAGCCTCCCCCCCCCGCAAAAAAAAACTGTTCTGAACAAATTATCACCTCTATCTTTGAGTACATTTCTAGAAAAGTTAGTGGATGTTAAAACTACAAAAATAGCCCAGCACTGGTAGCTCACTCCTGTAATCCTAGCTACTCAGATGGCTGAGATCCAAGGATC